GCTGCCGCACACAGTGGCGGGCGACGTCAAGCTCACCTGGTTGAGTCTGGGTAAGTCTCAGTCTGTGGAGGACAGAAGTAAAGCGACTTATATTGCAACGCTCAGACAGGCCTGTATATATACTACAGAGAGTGGCTATGCGGTGCAATCACATGCTAAGCTATAGAACAATAAAGAAGGCTGTGGAACGTAGCAACGTACAGCCTATTGTGTCAGAAATAGATACAGCTGTGCCGAGGACGGCAGTCAAGGCGGGCTGTGCCAGCGCCTGTGAATCGGTGGCTGTAGAGCGCCAATTCAACACTCCCCCTCGCTGAGTGCAACGGTAGGCACGTGAGCGGATATGGCGCAAAAATGCAGCCACAGGGAGGACAATGGTTTCAACCGAACACTAAGCCCAGTTGTGACCTGAACTTGAGGAATTTTTCATGCCCCAAGTTCTTGGTGAACATGTCTGCGGAGTTCTCAGAACCTTCGATGTAGAACAGCTCAAGCTCCTTATTGACGTGCTCTCGAATGAAGTGGTATAGCACATCGATATGTTTGGAGCGGCGCTCAGTAACCGCATTGGATGCGATGAATATCGATCCTTGGTTATCACCGCAGATGGGTAGTCGGTTAAACCTATACCCGAGCTCCATGAACAAAGCTCGTATCCAGAGTATTTGGCGACTACAATCAGAGAGTGCCATATACTCGGCTTCTGTAGACGACAGTGCAACAGTTTTCTGTGCTCGTGAAGTCCAGGAGACTATCCCGTTAGCCAATTTTATGAAGTATCCTGTGATCGACCGTCTCGAATTAGGGTCTGAAGCCCAATCAGAGTCAGTACATGCCAAAAAGCCTAGCCCCGAGCCGCCATCATACTTCAAGGAGTAATCCTTGGTGCCGACTAAGTAGCGGCAAATGTATAAGGCTTTGGCGAGGTGATCCTCAGAGGGATTGGCCGAGTGTCGCGCAAGAGCGGTCACTGCAAAGGCGATGTCTGGTCGAGTGCCAATCATAAGATAAAGCAACGATCCGATGACGGTCTGGAAACGGTTCCTAAGAACCGGATCAACAGGTGCTTCATTGGTCTTAGGCAAATAGCCAGTTGGCAACGGTGTGGGTGCGACTCGCGCATTTTCCATACCAAAACGCTGCAGTATTTTGTCTAGATAGGCTCGCTGGTCAAGATGGACACAGTTGCCTTTCCAAGTGATACGCATGCGCAAGAACTCTTTGCCGTCGAGTTCTCTGCACTCCCACTTATCCATGAAAGCTCGTTTGAGTCTTAGGACGGTAGGAGAGTTCTTGGGCCCCATAAAGAAGGCATCGTCAACATAGACTACGGCAATGCAGAAATTGCCATCTTTGTTGTAGACGAATATACCAGCGTCTGACACCAGGCGTTTAAAGCCTAGGTCGGCCATGGACCGGTCGAGGGCTTTCCACCAAGCTAACCCTGCCTGTTTAAGTCCATAGAGCGCGCGGCGAAGCTGGAAAACCATGTTTTCGCGCCCTGGCTCTTTAAAGCCTTCAGGTTGCTCCATATATATTTCTTCGTCGAGATTGCCATACAAATAGGCATTTCGCACATCAACGGCATGAATTTGCCAGTTTTCAAGTGCGCATAGTGCAAACATCATTCGCACTGTCTCAAACGAACTACAG